GAGGAGAAGATATGGATAAAAAATGCTTAGCCAGTTGAAAATCAGCAATGCTTTGCTATGGAGGTGATATTACATTATTTTGCTGCTTTAAATTAATTTCAGAGTAATGAATGAATACAACCTTTCCACTCACAATTTTTTTAAGTGAGGGGACAAATATAAGGAAGACCTCATAACCAAAATGCAATTTCTATATCCATTTTAATATTAGAAACAATTAAGTCAATATTATTTTCTAGTGAGATCCTCAACAGGTATTGGTACTTAGCTCTGCTTATTTCTTCTACGTTAATTTGGAATGGTTGATCTGAGACTTCTATATGTTAAGTCCTTAGGCGGACTGTTTTCCTGAGGTCTTCTCATAGCGATGTATTTTAAGTCAGGTATCCAGAGTCTAGGACAACTTACCGCTGCTAGTTGTTGCCGCTAGCTCACCCCGGCCGATTCGACACAGGACAACTCACCGTGGGAGAATGCCAGAGACGAGGGGAATATCCTCCTCCTCCTTTGTAGCTCAGACTGGGGGGAAAAATCGGGGAGCACAAAGTGAGGAGGGGAAGAGGGGCTTCCCTTCCGAACAGAAAAACGATCACTTTGGAAAGAGTCGCACACTTTTTGGTGCACAGGAGTTTCTGCCACAAAGTTCAAAGGATATTGGGAGGCGGGAGCTGGATCAGGGAGGGAGGGAGGGAGGAAGAGAGAGAAGAAGGAGATCGCCTCTTGTATTTTCCTGTGCTGAGTTGTCCTGCGGCAAGTTGCACATGGCAAGTTGTCCTGTGGTGACCTGGCCAGGGTGAGCCAACAATGGCGACCCGGCTGTGGAAAGTTGTCCCATTATGTGGTATTCATCCAGAATTCTTGCTACATGCTGGGAAACATACAATAACATGGCTAGCACAATTTTACTCTTGTATCTTACAGAGATCAAATTGCCAACATACGCTGGATCATGGAGAAAGCTAGGAGTTCCAGAAAAATATCTACTTCTGCTTCATTGACTATGCTAAAGCCTTTGATTGTGTGGATCACAACAAATTGTGGCAAGTTCTTAAAGAGATGGGAGTACCAGACCATCTTATTTGTCTCTTGAGAAACCTGTATGCAGGTCAAGAAGCAACAGTGAGAACTGGGCACGGAACCACTGGTTGGTTCAAAATTGGGAAAGGAGTCCGGCAAGACTGTATTTTATCGCCCTGCCTATTTAACTTGTATGCAGAGCACATCATGAGAAAGGCAGGGCTAGATGAATCAAAAGTTGGAATTAAGATTGCCAGGAGAAATATCAACAACCTAAGATATGCAGATGATACCATTCTAATGGCAGAAAGTGAAGAGGAACTAAAGAGCCTCTTGATGCGGGTAAAGAAGGAGAGTGCAAAAGTTGGCTTGAACTCAACATTAAGAAAACCAAGATCATGGCATCTGGTCCTCTCAATCCCTAGCAAATAGATGGGGAAGAAATGGAGGTAATGACAGATTTTATCTTCCTGGGCTCCAAGATCCCCACAGATGGGGACTGCAGCCAAGAAATTAAAAGACGCTTGCTCCTGGAGAGGAAAGCTATGGCAAATTTAGACAGCGTACTAAAAAGCAGAGACATCACCCCGCCAACAAAAGTACGTATAGTCAAGGCCATTGTTTTCCCAGTTGCAATGTATGGTTGTGAAAGTTGGATCATAAGAAAGACTGAGCACAAAAGAATTGAGGCCTTTGAACTATGGTGCTGGAGAAGACTCCTGCGAGTCCCCTGGACTGCAAGGAGATCAAATCGGTCAATCCTAGAGGAGATCAACCCTGACTGCTCTTTAGAAGGCCAGATCCTGACGTTGAAATTCAAGTACTTTGGCTACTCACTGGAGAAGAGCCTAATGCTGGGAAAGATTGAGGGCAATAGAAGAAAGGGACGACAGAGAATGAGGTGGCTTTATGGAGTCACTGAAGCAGTAGTTGTGAGCTTAAATGGACTCCAGAAGATGGTAGAGGACAGGAAGGCCTGGAGGAATGCTGTCCATGGCGTTGCGATGGGTCAGACACAACTTCGCAACTAACAACATAGTAATTGGAGAATTTAAATACATTAGCAACTGCCTTATTTTAAAGAACTGAGAATTTAATCTAAAATGCATAAAGAATGTCTACTTGTGCTGTCTTCTTTGTTTGCAACATGAAAAATACACAATCTGTGAATCTGTTAATTCACAAAAATAATAAATGAAAATCAATTTCTCATTCAAATCACATTAAGGAGTTAATTGTTACTGTGATGGTGATAGCAATTAGATTCACAATGTAGAATGAAAATAATTGGGCATAATGCTCAAATTAGCATTTTATACTATTAAAAGATCTATCCTTTACTATTGACTTGTAAAAAAAAGTTGCTTTATTTCTTTAATATCTGCTTCCCCATTACAAAGAGATAATCAATTATTGTAAATAAATGTCCGTGAAACTACCGTAGAGAGGAAGTAGCTGCTAGACTGTTTTTTGAACATTCCTCTGGCAAACATCCTCCACTTTGCTTTGACTCCCTATTCTAGGAACATTTCCATGGAAAGGTTCTGTTCTCTGGCTTGATCTTGGCATACGCTAATGAACAGTTTACAGACACTCAGCACCTTTTATTGTATACAAGAACAAATTCACTTTAAACAGTTGATTGCCCTCTGCCAACATGAACACTGTTCTTACACCCACAACAGTTAATTTACTGTGCTGCTTTTTTATGCCTTTTATATAGCTTGACTACTATAGTACATTTTTTCTTACATTCAATCAAGTCCAAATTCTCAAAAATTGTCCAGACAAGTCCCTGCAGTTTTCTTGGCAATGTTTCCTCAGAAATGGTTTGCCATTGCCTCCTTCCTAAGACTGAGAGAAAGTGACTGGCCCAAGGTCACCCAGCTGGCTTCATGGCCAAGGTGAGACAAGCATTCATGGTCTCCTGATTTCTAGCCTGATACCCTAACCCAGTGATGGTGAACCTTTTAGAGACCGAGTGCCCAAACTGCAACCCAAAACCCACTTATGCATCGTCGGGTGCCGGGTGGGCATGGCTCATTGGGTGGGCATGGCTGCAGTGATAACGGCAGACTGGGTGGGACTAAAAAGTTCAATCAATCAATTCCAACTTTGCAAGATATTTTTTGTTCCCGCAAGAAGTTGAAATTGACTGATTGAACCTTTTTTTTTTTTTTTTTTGCACACGGTGGCAGAGGCCTAAAGCGAAAAGATTTTATAAAACCCAGCTGAAGGCCTAGGACTGGGGCGACAGCGCACGTGCCCACAGAGAGGGCTCTGAGTGCCGCCTCTGGCACCCGTGGCATAGGTTTGCCACCACTGCCCTAACCATTACACCAAACTGACTCTCACTGTGGTACTTAGCCTTGTGTTTTTAAATTTTGGGGCTAGGTTAAGTTAAGCAATTACGGTAGTAGTTGTTGACATAATTAATATTTCTGCCCTAAGAAACTCTAGTTTTACATCCTCCTCCCCTCAGTTCTCCACCTACTTCTCCTCTATATGTCTGGAAGGAACAAAGATCTACCTCCTCTTTCTCTGGTCTCAAAGAGGCAGGTAAGGGAAAAAACCTTCCCCTCTTCATCTCTGTGGAGATCGGCTCTTCTTCCAAAAAGCAACAATTGTTGGCAACTTTCCTTCCCCTTCAGGGAGATGCTTGATGGTAGAATTTCTTTCAATCTCTCTCTGTCACTCTCTTCTTGACTATCTACCTGTCTTACTTACTCCACCCCAATAAATCCCCAACCTTCCCTTATTGTGTGGCTTTGGATTGCAAAAGCATTGTAACTAGAAATGGTGAAAATGGAAAGCTTACATGCATATCATTCACTGCCTCCCAGGAACATTTAGTATCCAGACTCCTTTCCAAGAAATCAGCTTTTTAAGCCCAGTTATCCTGTGCTGAGTCCAAAAAGCATTTTATCTCAAGTTCTTCCTTCCCATGTCTCAGGATGAGAAATGGTGGCAGAGATAAGATGTGTTAAGGGGAATGAAACTGTAAAAGCAATTGAACTTTCAAGATAACCAAAGGCTGCAATCAAACGCTACTTGTGTTACCATGGGTAATCCGATACACTTGACATCTAGCTTGACTGAGAACACATGGTATATAAACACACAAATATAAAAATGATAGTGTAAACAGATGAAAGCCACTTGTGATCCCCTGGGGAAAGGAGGAGTTTCCAGATAGTGATGGTTAGCAGAGTACTTTCGGTAGATTTGCTAGATCTAGCTGCTCTTTAAAGATGTGTTGAGCCATAAATTTATCTTTTCATTGTTTATGACCATAACAAATATTTATTTGATTTGATTAGCTCTCCAATGTGAAAATACTGAGAGTGACAGACTGACACTATTAGCCATTATTGTTCTAAAAGAATGACAGCTGATTTCATTCATAAGCAAATGCTGTCAAGAAAAAAGTTCTAGCCAATTGTCTTGTGGGTTACTATAGCAACAAAGGTATTGCTCTGAGGTGTCCTTCTTCATGAATACATACATGTATGGCTCAACACCTCCTTAAAAAGCAGCTAGATTACTCAGGGGCCACCTACAAATAGTTTGCTAAGCATCACCATCTGAAACGTTTCATATATTGCTCAGGAATGAGTTTGATTTGAGGATGTCTTTTCAGTATAACATAGTAACATATGACCATTATAAAAAAGTCACATGGATTATTGTGTTCCAATTTGTTCCAAGCAAATTGGCAATACTGGTTACTGGTTTGTTTGTTTTTTAAATAAAACCTCAGCTCTCAAACTACTGGCCAAGATACTTGCTAATAAGGAAAAATAAGTAGCCATTTATTCACATTTAAAATTACAGAAAATAAACATGATGTTCCATGTTTACAATGTTATCTTTCACCTGAACTGAGAAATCTAAAATGTGTCTTGTTGTTTAAAAAAAATTGGGAAAATGAAAAAGCATAGAATTAAAGAAAAAATCTGCATTTCCCCCCCCCCCTTTCTTACCGTATGTTGACCAATGCATGAGTCACCTTACTGGCTGGCTCCTTCCACTGGCCAGCATTAGTAGAAAGCCTTAGAACTGAAAGAAAGAAAAAAAAATATTCTCTGATACCTATTTGACTGCAGCTCAATTTTTTGTGGCTTGGGACTGCATTTCCTTCCAGCCCATTTTTTTTAACCGTCTCAGCATTGACAGGGACGGGCAATATGATACGTTATTATTGGAGGAGATGGGGACAGAACGTTCAATCTTTTATATTTTCTGGGCAATTGGATGGGAAGAGACCTGACATTTAAAAGCAACAAAGACAAACGGTGCCCTGTTGGGTCATCATTTCAGAGATTTTTCTTAACTTAAATAGAGAAACAGAATCACCAGGGTAGGTCATTGGGAGTAGGAGTGAGTTCCAACTTCCTGCCAGCTTCCCCATTTTCCTTGTGGGAATCCGGCAACCAAAATCATAAATCTTCCTTCCTTCCTTCCTTCCTTCCTTCCTTCCTTCCTTCCTTCCTTCCTTCCTTCCTTCCTTCCTTCCTTCCTTCCTTCCTTCCCTTCACACCCTCCCTCCCTCGTAAGTAGCTGATGCTGGGTGGCAGAGAGACTAGCTTAAAAACTGTCACAGAATGTTGAAAATGATCGTTACTCAGTAGCCACCACTTTCCCAAATTTCATTCCTTCAGGACTCATGGGTTGCAGATTTTGGACACATTCTGTAAGTTAGTCTGTTTGAGTACCTTGGTTCAACAATTGTTGCCCTATGATGCACCATTTTGCTCAGTTAAAGGTTATGACAAGAGTTTTAATAGAAGATGTTATCTTAAGCCTACTGAAATCTTAATATACTATTTTCTTCAGTTTCTTGTTCAAATGTAACATAAAATTGTGATGTTCTGTTTGATACTTTGCTGGCAAATTTCAGAAACACTCTTGGAAAACTTCAGGAACAATAAAAAAAATGTAATGTTCAGGTACATGTTTATTTTGTGTACTGTCCATTTCCAATATGAATACATACATTCATAGTAAAACACTTAATATACAGATCTCATCCCTTTCCAAATATGTCTAGATACATAAAACACAATGCATGCTTTCTATGCTACATGTAGAAGACAAGCTTGCTGAAAACATAAATTATTAAATTAATTATTAAGCTACTATCTCCTTAATAATCAAACTCAGAAGAACCATATTTCTTCTTTAAACTGGCATGCAGTTTCCTTGGCAGCCAGGAAATGGGAAGCTGGCTAAAGAGTCCTTAACCTCCACTGTGTACTACCGTACTGTTTCAACATCCCAATACAACTCCTTCTAAGCTAACCTAGAATTCTCAGTGAATTGAAGGAGATAATGTAATTAGAAAGATAGTGGTATATATAGAACACAGAAACATAGGGCTGGGAGGGACCTTGAAGGTCTTCTAGTCTAACCTCCTCAAGGCAGGAGACCTTATACCATCTCAGGCAAATGGTTGTCCAACCTATTTTTGAAAACTTCCACAACTCCCACAGCTTTGGGAGGCAAACTATTCCATTAATCTTTATCTTTATTTCTAGATTGGATTTCTCTTTAACAAGCTTCTATCCATTACTTCTTGTCTTGCCTTTTGGTGCTTTGGAGAATATGTTAACCCCTTCTCTATGACAGTCCTTCAAGTACAGTTATCATATCCCTCCTAATCTTTCTCCTTGATAGGCTAGACCAGGAGTAGGCAACCTTGGCTCTTTTATGACTCGTGGACTTCAACTCTCAGAATTCTAGCTCTCTCAACTATTCATCATATGGTTTAGCTGGACCTTTATCATCTTGGTTGCTCTTCTCTGCACATTTTCTAGGGTCTCAGCATCTTTTTTGTATCATGAGGATAAGAACTGGACACGGTATTCCAAGTGTGGCCTCATTAGCGAAATATAAAGTGGCATTATCACTTCTCGTGATCTTGATATTTACTATATAAATAAAGGATGGATGTGGTGACGATTTTTATACGCATGAATGCAAATGGGGAATAGGGTTGTAAATCAGAGAATTACATGTCATAAACAGGGGAAAGAGAAAAGAATGTATCACACATTTATAGCTTTGGCCCTCCATTAAGGAATCCAGTTTTCCAATTACAGAATAACTGCCCTCCTCTTCCCTATAGCAATAGTAAATGCTCTGCTCTATCACCTCCACTCCTCACCCAAAATTATTTCCGGATAGCATTATTTTTCTGCCTTTCCAATTTACACAAGCTGTTTTCTGACTGAATTTCTTTGAAGCACTGACCTGGTTCCATGATGCGCTCTATGTTCTTTGGAGACAGTATCTTACTGGGCTTTCATCAGAATAAGATGAAAGTACAACTTCCTGTTTTCACTTCATGTTTACAATGATGCTTCCCTGCAGCTAAATGGTTCTGGGAGCTTAGCTTACTCTCTGATCTGAGATTAAGGTGTAGTTTCCCAACTGGGAGCATTCTACACATGCCAAATAGGATCATCCTAAATGGACATGATGTGTTTTTGTTACTATTTATTATATGCCAGAAAACAGCAGCAACCGTACTTTCACATGCAGCAGCCATATCAGTGTGCCAGGTGATCCTCTGATCCCCTGACTATATTATTTATATTATATATTACCATATCATTTATTATTATTTATATCAGCTTAAGAAAGAGCCATTTTTAAACATCTCTTTAGCCTGGAATGTCTTTTAAAGGATTATTTCAAGTCATGTATTAAAGGTTAATTAAAATTATATGAAAGCATATGTATTGAAGAGCAATCATACATTATTATTTGCTCTTAGCGACACTTATACAAATGTTACATTAACATAAAGTCAAGTCACCTAACATTACTTACCCATGGAATATAGGTTATCAAAACTCTGGTGCATCCTGATTATTTCATAATAAAGCTCATCGTAGCTGCTAGGAGTTGGAAGAAAGGTATCTCCATAAGTGATGAACATATTAAATAGGTTTATCACCTTAAAAAAAAGATTACAGGCATTACTGAATAAAAATATATTAACTTTATTATTTAATCAAACAGAAACAGGACTTCTCTGGGCAAAATAAAAGGTTATTAAATAAATAAAAGTACTAACTATGTAAACCAACATATCCTAACATTAACAGTATTGAAGCGATCATTTAGCTTTCATACATAAAAAGTGTATTTTCTTTACCTGACAAATTCATCAGGACCTACAGTCACCCATGAGAACAGCGAGAGCAAATATCATTCACCAAAAAGGCAAATTTGCATGGTTGAATGTGTACCAGCTTAGAAGTAAAATGAAGCCAATAAAAAAAAAAAACCCAGGCAAGCTGTTTCTATATATTCAAGAGTTTCTTAAAGGACTTATAATTATGTAGAAGCATAAATCAAAAGCCAAAATTAAAGAAATTTCAAAATGTCAAGGAAAACATCTAGGAACAGTTGTGTCCGTATTGCTGATTGTGTGGGAAACAAATGGAAAGAAAGAGAATGAATTTATTCAACTCTCTAATTTTCTCTGGATCTTCTGGACTACACGTGGCCCCTAAGCTTCTGAAACTCCCTTACTGCAGGATTGCTGTACATGAGTGGCTATTTTCCACCATTTTAATCCTAGTAAGCACTTTAGAAGAGGAAAATTTGGAGCTTAAGCATATCTGCTGTGAAGTTAAAAATAAAAAGTACCTAAACTGTCAGCAATAAATAGAAATATTTCATGGAAAAAACAATAAAATGACATTCTCCAATTTACTACTATTCAAAGTGTACTTTCTTGGCTGCCCAGCTATGAAACATTTGGATTTTCAGGTTAGCAATCAACATTTTAAAGACAGATCACTGCAATAAGCTCTTTCCTCATTTACAAGCTGCAAACAGAATTCCAAAGATTCATTTCCAGCCTGCCTAAAGCCACAAAGATCATTCATATTAGAACATGAAGAAGCACTGGAAGATATTTTTTTTGTGGTGGATTCCAATTGTGACACATAAAAAACACACCTCTCCATAATATGGCACTCAATTCAGTACATATTAAAACATTTCTTCTTCTATATACATTCCAAAAAGTATCTAGAGGGAATATTCCTAACCTGGATCAATTCTGTCTCCAGGCCTTTGGCAGCAATGAACTGATACCTTTTTCTTCTTTTCTGTTCCCCTTTGGTTTGGTTTGGTTTGGTTTGGTTGTCACTGTTTTGCGTTTTCTAATGTTCTTTGTTTTAAAATATTTTAATAATTGTAAACTGCCCAGACTTGCTAGGAATTGGGGGCATATAAATTTAATAAAGCACATGTAAGTATTATAACAAGAGAATACAAGTTCCTAAACTGAACTAAAATAACATAAAGATAAAGTAATATTCTTAACCTGGTTTAGCACAGGATTTGTATATATCTATGTATGTGATTTATTAATCTCCTCACTCCAGAGCTTCTACCAAGTGCACAATGTAATAAAAATAAAACTGTAAGCAATAATAAGCAAAAATGCCAGGGTTCTTCCTCTAGCAGCTAATCAACTAGCTTTCCAGAAATCCAGGTTTCAGCTATTTTGAGATAAGCCATTCTTTTCACAGGAGTAAACAGTTCTAAAGGAGGGAATCAGCCACTAAAAATACCCACCTTTGTGCCCCATTCTGTAAAACTTCCTGATAGGAGGGGACCTTTAGCAGGCCCTCCCTATTCATACAGGAACAATTTACTTGGGATAGATGATTTCTAGAATACCCAGATCCCAAGCCATAGACAGCTTTTTTGTAATAAAGCTCCTTGAGAAACTTGGAAACAGATCAGTAACCAATGGAGCTCCATCAGTAGTGGAATAACATGACAGTATATTGGGATTGCCCAGTAAGCACATGGCCATTGCATATTGCATCATTTGAAATTTTCAGATAGTCTTGAAGGATGGTCCCATTCGAGTTTTCATATGTATTTCTATTAGCTTATGAAGGACAGCCCCATTAGAATGAGTTGCAATAATTCAGGTACAGGGAGATAAGGGTGTACATAACCTTGTCTTGTTCTGGCTGAGACATTACACCAGCTGCACTGGACAAGTGCTAGCAGAAGCCATATATCCTGGAGGATCTCCAGATTGTGAGTCTGGTCTTTCAGGGTGGAGCAGAAACCCATCAAGTGCCAAAGTTGATATCACTCCAGAATCAGTTTACTAATGAACCAGCAACCATTCTATCATCACTGGTTTGAGTCTGAGCCCATTTCTCCCCATCTAAGTCATGGAAGCTTCTATACTTTCCCCCCATTTTCCATGTAGCCTGTGGCAGCATAGTAGGGTATCATAAACATAATGATAATACCTCACTTGGTGCCCGAAGCTTCATGTAGATGTTTAAAGGTTCCCTTAAAAATAAATTAAAAATCAAGGGTTCTTTATCCCTGGTAGGGCTCATTTCTTTCCATAGATACTCACCATCAGAGCCAAGGTAAAGATGTTATATTTTGCCAGCAAAACTGTTTCGTTAGACATGAGGAACTTCAACAGATTAATCAGAGCTGAAAGAAGAATTTAAAAAATTAAATACAGTTTTATTCTCATAAGACAATACTTATAACCAAACTGATCTTCACTAGTTAAATGTCTATACTTCACAGGCAAGAAAACTGTTTTAGCCCGAGATTTATCCTACTTGCACATTTTTATGTTAAATTAACTTGTCAGTCATCGATAACAATGGGGATTTTCCCTTTACTGATCACTTTAAGTAGGAACAAGAGTATGAAAACTGAATTGTTTTCAGCACAAAAACCAACAAATCAATATGAGATGTCACTTTTGTTGATGGTACACAAAGCAGAACCACATATGGTACAATTCTGCAAGAGCTTGACTAGGTTCACTTAGTATATTATATTTATTTGAATACAATACATGTTATATCAAGTTATTTAGGACAAGGAAGACCGCTTTGGAATCAAGAACTCAAAAGCACTACCTGCAGACCAAAATTTATTAACACCCTTCATTATGTATCTTCTTTTAAATTTCTTTTTAGCTAAACAGAGTAACCAAGGTAGTAAAAGATGGGAACACAAGTGTGAGGCAAAAATATGTATCTGACAGCACTATTACAATCCCAAAATAACAATAGAAAATAATTACCAAAAAAGGCATTTATGTTTTATTTGAAGTTTCTGAATATGTGAACGTTAGACTGAACACTTTCAGTTCTTAATAAGGAAATTCAGGTCCAAAGCACACATTTCACAGCAGAAAGTTAAAACTGTCCAGTTTAAGTCCATTTAGAAACTTGTTATGGAGCAATATGAACACATTAGATACACTGCTGGGTACATGGAATTATCATAAACTATAGGAGCAATGCAATGATTGTCTACTACCTACTGATCACCTTGATTAAAAAGTTATGCTAGAATGATTGGTTTATATGAAGATATGACTAATGAAACGAGCCATGCCAGACTGACCAGGAAGAATCCTATTTCAGATCAGTACTTCTATATCAAAGATGGGCACACATTGGCTAGGAGGACATGAAAAATGAGACCAAGGAACTGCAGAACAAACTAACAGCTTAATCAAGGAATCATCAAGACCAGTCCCATCAACACTGATAGGACAAGCCACTAATAAATGAAATGAGAGCAAACCCCACTTCCTATTAGCACTGATATTACCTAGTTTGTTAATGAAACATCTGCAAGAAAAGAACAAATCTCAGAAAGCATCAAAAACCCTGCAAATGAGACCTACCCAAAACACATTCCAGACATAATTTTCTGGAGATTGGAAAAAAACAAGTTGGAACATCAGGGAGGGATTTACAATTTAAAACTGTAATAATGATTGAATTTGGCTAAATTGGAAATTGCCAATCAGAGTCCAACTTGCTATTCTTCTGAGAAGAGGAATAAGGTCTCATTAATTCATCTCCTTACTTGATTTTCTCTCCAATGATTTTCTCTTTAACTACTAATACCTTTCCAGCAATTTTCTTCCAATAGGAGGAAGTTTGATTGTCTATCAACCCTTCATAAACTTGTACTTAAACCTGTGTTCTTGTGGTTCATTCCTCCAATAGCAAATGATATTTGCCCAAGTACTACGGGAGAAGAAATACTTTGTAGTAGCGGGACTGAATGGAATGATAAGTTGAAATATTCCCTTTGTCTTTCTGAGCTTTTATCTTTTCTTGTATTAATTTACACCAACCTAAGCATGACCCCTTCCTAGCACAGAAATACAATAGAGCACATTTTTACCAGTTCAACCAATTAGGACATGGTTGCCTCCCCATTTGCTTCTCTGGGAAAGTTATGTATCAGCTATAATGATCTCTGGATAGTTTGTACCAGGCTTGAGAGGCATATTAAAGGGAAAATATGTAGAGACATTTGAATCAATAAACTTATGTAACTGGTTTTAAAACATATTCTATTCTGCCCACAGGGAGCAAAAAGCCGAAATTGTCTTAAAATTAGGCAGCTCAACTCATGTAATTAAATTCTTAATTATTTTAACCAGGGGCAAAGGATTGGTTACTTTAACAGCATGGCTGCCATACATTGTTTCTTTGAAAGAATTTCAAATAATCTTAATTTGGCATACCTGAGACTATAAATTAACTTCTGACCTGTTAAGGAGTTCATTTGTGGATCACAGTTTTTGTTTGTTTTGGGGGTTTTTAGCTTGTTTTTATTGCTCTTTGTTAAAGAATAAATGCTTTCTCTCTGGAAGATTTGAATACGTCGTGACCTATTTTGTGTTGTTGGGAAGAATCATCACAATAGCTAGACAGAAAACTAAGTATATATAGATTGCAGAAAAAATTATTCATTATACATGCATATTTAGCTATTCAGAATGGTTTCAGTCTCTGATCATTAATAACTGGCAGAATGAAAGAAGACAAGGGGAAGAAGAAACATAGTCGCAGTAGTGACAGTAGTGCTGGTATTCTCTGAACTTTTAAAAACATCTAACATGCTAAGTGATCAAAAGTCATCTGAAAAGGCAGTGGGATGGTAAGAAGGATCCAGTGTTCAAATAAACATATAGCTGTTGCTATAAATTAAGTAATCAGACAAAAAAGAACAGTTAAGTCACCTTCAAAACATCAGAGTAAACATAACGAAGGAGAGAGGTACAAATGTGATAACAGACAAGATTGTGACTGGAAAATCACAAGCAAACAAATATCACATTTCATCCTCACATGTACAGAACAAAGAATCACCCTCTGAGCACTTGCACAAATGGATACAGGATATTAATGTGCCACACAGAGCACTATGCTCTTCTCATCAATATATCCAGTTTGATTTAAATGCTTAATACCATATTGATTCAGGTCAAAGTAGACTTTTGCTAATATTGTGCTTAAAGACATCAGACTTCAAAGCAAAATAGTGGTTCTAAATAGGCTCTCCATATAGCAAAGATGCAGTTAAACACGTTTCCAAGGTAACTAAGCTTCCATGGCAAACGTTGCCATTCAAGGCAATCACTACTTGGGACTAAGACAGCTGCCCTGAGTCTCTGTGATAGCAGTTTATTGGGAACTTCTCCCAGTAATAGGCATTAGGTATGTGTTTTATTCAATGGTTCAGTTTAAAAAATTAATTGTAAAATCATTCAGCCAAAGACTCTGAATGCTTCATATTCTATACTCAATAGAAACTTTTTTTCCTTCCATTCATATTTTTATCAATTTGCTTCCATCAATTATCCAATAGACAGAAATCACAGGCTAATAACAATTTGTTCTAATCCAACATTGGAGAAATTCTATCAGATGAAACTTCTGGATCACATAGGTAATATCTAAGGAACACTCCTATCTGTGCTCAGTTTGATTCATTTTCCTCCAGCAACATTTTAGGCATTTCATCTCCTGAAGCAAATCTGATAACCAACTGACTCTCTGGAGATCCAAGCATGATACAATCCAAGACCACTGTTGCCATCTCATTCCAAATGGTGATTATGGCCTCAGTTGAGCTACGTACCAGAGCCTCAGGGAAAATCCCAAGCTCTCTCTGAAATCCTACTTGGTCTATCAGGGACCTGGACTAAACTGATCAGTTCAGAAAACACTAAGGAAAAGGATATACTTTTATTAAAAAACAGTCCTAACATAATTAAGATCTGAAGACACCAGTCTTGAAGAAGAGAGAGAAAAATATCTTTAGAAATTAAGAAATATCTTTCAGATACAGTTTAATGTAATCCAGAATAAGTGTCCGGTGGCTGTGGAAATACACTTTTATTCGTTATGTTTTGTTCCCAGTGCCTCTACCTCCTGAATTCATGGAAGAGAATTTGAGCATGAGAAGCCTACTCTTCGTACCTTTCCTCCTTTGAAAGGCATAATTGCAAAAGGAAACAGCAATGCAGAAGAAAGCAAGGACCTTGGATCCCTTTGCTACAATGTCCTTTCATAATAAGGATTATACAATAAGGGCAGCAAAAATATTTTTCTGTCAAAAGTATGTTTTAAGATGTTTAAGGTGACCTGGTCATTCTAGGTAGATAGGGCTCAGGGGAAGATTGTGTGGACTGTGTGGACTATAGCTGTGTGGACTATTTTGGCATCTGTCGAATAAAGCGACTCAGATTTATTCTGAGTTGTAGTTTAGCTATTCACATCATATGGAGGTACCTGTGGTGCAGTTTTCTCAGTTATCTGTGATTCCATTAGTCCTGATGAAATGGACTGAGTCCTTCAAGCTGTGAGTTCAATTACTTGTGGTACAGATACATGTCTCTTCTGGATGGTTAAGGCTTCCCAGGAGTGACATGTAATTGGAGCCATGAAATATTTAATGTCTCCTTGTGGGAGGATGTGATGTCTATAGGAAGCAATCATCCCACCCTCCTGAGGCCATTGCTGTACCCAATGGAACTTGATACTTTTCATCCAGTCTCCAACCTTACAGTTATGGGAAATGTTGTTGAAAAGCTGGCTGGTCTGCAGTTTTAGAAGATCCCAGAGGAAACAAATTGTATGGACTCCTTTCTGTCAGGATTCAGATTTGGTTATAATACTGAGATGACACTGGTGGTCCTTGACAATATCAAGATGATCTAGTACTTTTCCTCCTAGTCTCCCAGCAATGGCCTTCATAGATAATCATACTGCTATCAAGGCTAATAACCACTGAGTCTCAAGACTTCCATGAATTCGCCCAACCTTTTTTTGAAGCCAACTAAACTGGAAGTTAGTATCATATCTCATGGTAAAGCAAGACAAAATTATAGAAGGTAATGGGCCCACACAGGAAGCAGTGGCATTTAGTTTAATTGAATCAATTACATCTCTTACCCATCTCTTTCCTTTGCTGTGATAACTCCAGAGGAGTTGTTTTTTTTTTTTTGCCAGCTGCTACTCTTTCTAATTTTGCAACACTATCCTAAACTGAATTAAATCAATATCACATTTCTTTGTAGCATGAAGTTATTATTTTGTTACATTACATAGTAAATGGCCAATACAAAAGAAACATACATGTTACACATCTTCTGTATGCAAGAC